TTGTTTTATTTTGAATCTTTGGTTAAAGTCTATACAAGAAGCTAAAATTTTGCTACCTGTTTGAACTAATATTAAAAATATCCAAATTTATTATAATATTATTATTTTTCATTTATATCAAACTCTGTATGATTTAGACAAAATTAATATATCGCCTATATCAGGCGCTTTACACACCACAACGACCCTTGATCTCATCTATCTATGGTCGTCATTGTCTATAAATACAAAGGTGGTCTGTAGGTAAGAAATTGTTTTTTATTTATCAGATGTAACTATTATAAAAAAAATCTCTTGGTGTACAATAGGGCTTATTTTTATTATATATATATATATATATACCTATCATTATGCCAGCTCAATAAGCAAGTTCAAAAGCCTCTTGCTTACCTAATGAATTAAATTAAAATAACATAACCGAATTAGCTTTGATCCTAGTTCTAATTTTAAAAATACCACTATTAAACTGCATAACTTTAACGACTAATGTATGTATATTCCAACCTGTACAAATGTGAGCGTGTTTAATATTACATTTTATACTTATTTCTGTTAATTTGGGAATAAAGTTGTGGGCCCCAATATGAAATAAGTACAATATTTGTTAGGATTGTTTTGTAAAATGTAAGTTGCAGCTGTTTTTTACTCCTACTCTGTAAAATAACAAATACAGTAAGTAAAGTTCAGATAAATGACAGATATGAGTAGGTAATTATACGAAATTCTCTCATTCTGTAGACGAACAAGCTCTAGGATTATATGTTAGATAGAATTATTTTATTTGAAATGAACAAATGTCTCATTAAAAACCCATAAATACACCGATTACATTTACCAAAGGTCAATAACAATTAACACAGCCGGTACAATAAATTAAATAAACGCTAATTAATGTCAAATATTTCCAACCGCAGCTGTCGTGGCGCAAAAGTTTAATTGTGTATGAAGAAAGCGTGGGTGGACTTCCCGCCACATTTTGACAAATCAACAATTTTAATCACAGACAATAAAATCGGCAAATTGATCGTACGTGCTGTGATATGTTTAATCGTTTATCGCCAACGGTTGGATTAAAATAAATAAATAATACCCACGTTTCATTTATACACGTTTTAATATGTATATATTATATAATCGTGTTTTATGTAAATTAAGTTTAATGTCTTTTTTGCAAGTGATATTATCTTATATCTGAATATCTGCAAATTCTAACGTCTCTCAACTTAAGCACAAACATTGATTCCTATACGAAGTACTTACTCAAAATCATAAACAATACTCTATTATTTTATAATTTTGTTATAGCATTAAACCCTTGTGAGGTTGCCCTTCTAACATCTTGTCAATTGGGCTCGAACTGATTTCATTTTTATTGCCTTGTCTCCCCAATGAGATATTTATCTTCATTGTGACTAGTAGGTACGGATTTTATCGTGAAATTGTTTAGGGGAGCCAACAAGGGGCTGTGGGGATGACACCGAGTAATTGACTGTGCATTGGATAATTGTCTTGAACGTTGTATGCTTTAAATTGTTTAATACTTGCCACTGTGAGTTGTTAGTTTTGATTATGTGTACGATTGAGGTAATGGAAGATAGGGATTGGAGCTTTAGTTAGTGAATAGTGTTCTCTCTAATATTTTATCGATTATAAATGATTCGATTCTCAGGTCAAGTTATTTAGTATTTTCATAAATAAGTATTTAGAATATCTTGTAATGTGAATAGACTCCATCCAAAGGACTATAAATTAGCCATCAAAACAGCCTGTGTTTAACGGTCACAATGGCGTATTTGTTAGGAAATATTATTATATGACTAGCCGTTTACCGCAGTTTTACCCACGTTTATGATTTTTGCTTCGTTTCTAAGTGTCGTAGAGTGATGTTATGGGGCCTAAACCGATGTGTGACCTTACTTGAATGAATATGCTATCCAATATAAAAATAATTATTCAAATTTTATTGATTCGTAGTTCTAGAAATTATCATTATTAAACATGCAAACAAACAATCAATCAAAATAACTCTTTAGCTTTATTAATTTTATACTCAAAATATATTGAATAATAATAAAACGTTATTTTATAAAAAAAAACAGCACGCAAATGCATTATATACTTACGAAACAAAAATTATGTTCAAAATCGTAACATTTTTGTTATTGTCATTGACTAAAGAAATAAAGCATTAAATGTAATTTTGTTTTAATTCGAAATCACTGGAACGATCAACTAGCATAGACAATATAAAGGTATTAAGGGAGAGCTATACACGGTAATACAATTACTGGAGCGTGCCACGCACGGGGCGGCGGCGATTCTCGATAATCCAATTGTTAATGTGCCGGCTATCGGTTTTCGCCTATTACAGCGGCCGTTTGGTTCGCAAATTGAGCGGTGTTGCTATTAATTAGCCGTTTAGTATCGGTCTGTGAATGGGAAGCTTATATTCCTTTTTTTGTTGGTGGTTTATTTCATGGGTTAATTTTGTTATTATGGTGTTTAGTTTTGCCTTTTATGTAATGTGATAAATAACTACAAATGAAAAGGGATTAAATTAATATTATTATATTTTTCTCACACCATATTTGTAACTTTTATAATACTAATAGGCGATGATCACAGCATGGAGCCTTAAATGTCAAAAGTGCTAATTATACCAAAAAGTTTGGAATCGTGTTAGCTATCAGTTATTAGTCGAATGATTGATGTGGGTACTGGTTTGGTGTTAAATGCCGTCTCACGAAACGTTTCATAACATTTTAATAATGCTTTTCGGTTTGTTGGTATTTTATTTTATGGACTATTCAAGGTTGGAGTAGATAAAGAGCTTTCCACATCAATGTTTATTTAATGTTAAGTATTGAATATATAACGTGCAAATTTTTTTAAACAGAGTTATACTAATTAATTAATTATGTGCTTTTTTAGATATTTTCTTTTTTAAATATGTTTTGGTATTTTTCTTCAAGGTTAAAAAAACATTTCACGTTCAATGATGTGTAATTATGTACACGTACGAAAATTAACGCCAATAATTGTACTAACCTTGGCCACAGGCTGACATCCTGAGTGTAACCTGTCCGAAACGTCAGACAATTCAGAGGTAGGTATATAATAGGTACCTCTGAATTACCTGACATTTCGATCAGGTTATATAATAATTAAAACATATTAATGATACTACGTGTGGTGATATTGTAACCATTTCAGGTTTACTATAGCTGTTTAAACTTGGTTTAAGATAACCCTTTTAGAATAGTCTCACGATCATTATACGCACAGTGTACTACCGCCCTAATATATAATATGCTCCAATGTGTACTCTATGCATTAGCGAGAGTCTCGAAACAAAGATGCGGTTTCAACATTATTTGACGAAACAACACGTTCATGTCATATGAGTAACGACTTAGTAGTCATGAGCTTGTTCTCTCAGGATTCTATTTTCAAATATAGTACTAAACCGTTGAAGTCTAGAAACTTCGTATAAAAACTCAATCTTAGCTACAAATAATGTTTTTGTAAACAAGATATTAAGTGTATCTCTGCACTCAACATCAATAGGAATAGTCAATAAAAAAAAGCGGGTAAAATACTTTCCATGTCGCTACTATCGCAAGTATGATTCCTTCCTAAATATAGAACGGAAGCTTTTAAACGGAAACTTTTTAATTCTCAATCGTTTCCTTGTTTCTTTTTTCGAACCGACACACGCCATAATAGCGCAGCTGGGTACCAAAGACAACTCAATAAAGAGTTTGTAACGTAAAAAGTTTGTACAACAACAAATTATTGAGAGGAAGCCATTGGCTAGACTATTGCAAATTGGTTTTTGAGTGTTCTGTCGCCACCCAGCATGGGAACGAGTCAAGTGGCTTAGACGCCAAGATGACGATTAAAAAAAATCATGAATCGTTTAGTCGGGCGCACTTATGAAAGCGATAAATTTTCTCTAACGCGAAATTATTACAGGCAAAGTTTCGTCATATTTTTCAATACTTAAACATTTTAGTGAGCGACAATGTCATGTGAATTGGCCGCTAACCTAAAAAACGTAGCGTCTCAGTTTGAGTTAAATATAAACAGCAAAACGCTAATTTGATTCTGAAACGGAAATAGAAATGAACGTCTTAATCACGCGGCCATTAAAACAATACGTGACTTAAAAGCGTTCGATATTCCTTTTTTAAAAACGGTCATGTCAATAGTGCTACCGTTTGCCGCGGCCTTTTAATTTTAGAACCACTTCAGCGACTAATCAGATTTGTAAAGTCGGCTTTTTGGTCAGAAGAGATATTTTTTTAAATTGAGCGGCTATAGACTAAGAACTTCGGCCTCTTTGTGGTTTCCATTTATATGAAATAGACAAACGGTGCATGGGAAAATATTTAATTAGACAATAGGTTATTTGTGTTTGCTTAGTGTTAATGTTACTCTTGAAACTTTGGGTGCGCTCAATTAGCACCTGTGGGCTACTGGTTCCCGAAAGATGCCTGCTTCATACATCTTTTTTACTGTTTTATGACAAGTCAATTTCGAAGCTGGAGAATAATTAGCTCTTAACATGTAGGAGTACTGATTACAATACATTTACTAGCTGGGTATTTAGAATGATTAAGTATTTATTAAACAGCAGTCTTTTTTTATACTTTCAAAGCTCAACATAATACTTATGCAAACGGAAAAATACTCATATAAATACAAATACTCAATAAATCATTTTCTTTTTTATACATCAACTCTAGAAAGTATCGGTCTGCTTAGCAGATCAAGTAGCTAATGTCTAGACGTAAGAGTAATTAAGATAATTGTAAAGACAGCCGACTTCGAGTGGTACTCACAACCCTTTAGAGCTACTACCAGTAGATAACCAATAATCGGTCCTCAAAATCTATTAAGAGATTTTAAAGGCGAGCTGTTTTGCTGCGTTTATAACAAAACAAAAAAAAATTTGTTTTATTGAATATGTGTTTATTCATGTGTACTTTTGTTCACAGAATCACTGAGTCCACAGTCAGTGACGAATTCAAATCCAGCTCCTGACCCAAATATTAGGTAAAACATTTTTCTTTAATATATAATAGAATTAAATACCTAGTAATTATACAGAATATCTAAAAAAATTCCAAAAAAATAGTAGGTGTTCTAATATTATAAAATAGAATATTGTTATTTTTTTTCAAAAGAAATACTGTTCTGAATAAGTAGTTTCAATCAAAAGGCCAATTCTATCAAATCTTTAATTCAAAGGGCAATAATGATGGATTTCCGATCTAGTTACTTTCGATCTTACAAATGTCATAAAAGGTATTTTTGTAGAAAAATAATAAGGTATTAAGACTAGCGGATGGATCAGTAGATTCAACAATCACATTATTATTATTACTATAAAAATACCTTAAATGACGTTCGTGAGATTGACACTTGATCGGAACTGTATAGTGACCGAATTTTTATTACGAGAAGTGGCCTTCAGGTATATACTAAAAAACAATTTCTTTGTATTCTGTTACTTCATAAAATTATTTTAATTCAGAAGGTACCGTACGGCGTTTACAAGAGAACAACTGGCAAGACTAGAAAAGGAATTTATGAAGGAAAATTACGTATCCAGGCCTAGAAGATGCGAGCTCGCGGCACAGCTCCAGTTACCCGAATCAACTATCAAGGTAAGGTTACGCCATTTTAATGAGACATAAACCATAAACAAATACTGCACGGAAGGCATAGTGGTTTAAGTGGTCACCTCGCTGCTACTATTGCGCTGAGTGCTGTGGGTTCTATCCCCATATGGGGCGACACTTTGTGTGATCCATAAATTGTTTTTCTGAGTTTGTTTGTAAGTCCCCCGCGACCCATGATATATTCCTAGTGCGAAAGTTATCTGTAAAAAAATTGCCGCTAATATGACATGCGTTTAAACCCCGTGAATATGAGATCTATAAGGATTGTAGTGGTATAGTAGGCTAAAACTTCCTTTCTAAGGAGAGGCCTATGTCCAGCAGTAGACTGTTAAAGGCTGTCGATGACGATGATGATAAAGGATTTTAACTGACTTGAAAATAGGGAGACGTATATTAATACAGTTATATTTTCATATTCTTAGCTCAGGACACCATTTTTTGAACCGATTTGTAATATTATTTTATTTAATTTAAAAAGCAAAAATTTCACCCTTAAGAATATGAAATTAAGGAATAAAGAATACAGTTTATTACAATTCATAATGCTGTAGGATTTAAGTCAGTTTAAAGCTAATAATTAGTTAGGCAAATTCATTATTTCAAATGACAATTAAGTAGATTTTTTTATAATTTTCAACCAATTTTCCATAGACAATACTAAGACATTGTGAAACAAGTTGGTAATTGAATTAGCTTGACTTTCAGTCCGCCTACAGTAAGTGGCGTGTACAAAACGAGCCTTATTTCAGAGTTTCTTCATTCCGCCCACATGATGACCCGAATAAAATCAACCTCTTTGTTTGATATACTCTTTTGTAATGTCACTTGAACTCACTTGTGCTGGTTGACAATTTGCTAAGTGTGACGACAAGTTACAGGACACCAATCCAACATGTGGTGTTAAAAAAAAATAAAAAATACTGTTATATGGTGTCACATTAGTTTAAAAGTTTCCACCATAGACAATTCTTTGTCTATGCCAAATTAGATATTTACTGATCTTGACTGCTACATCAGAGAATTAAGCAAAGGGCATGACTATTTGTTCTGTTTCTGTTTATAACTTTAATACATATAAGAAGTATGTAATTAGAAATATATGCTTAAAGTGTTTATCGGAAGTCTGGTTACCATAGTACAGGTTCTGTCTTGTTAGGAATCAGACGTCCGTTTTTTGGACCTGTCAAGTTATTGTTATTTTAGTATACAACCTGCATCTTTTTTCATGTAACTAAAATCAAGACATCCTTTATTATTATTAGTCTCTTCAAATTTATATTTGCCAAATATACCGCATTCCTGCTTTTTATTCCGTTATCTTTGCCCACAAGTAATTGATTGGTGGTGATGAATTAATTATTATAGTTATTGAGGATGATAAAGATCTGCATTTCCTGCTGTGTAAATGCCAAGTTAAAATTATAAGTTTAAACTATTCGTAGTAGTAACTAGTCACACTTGCGCTCCCGTCAATGTCATCCACATGCCAAAAGTCATTTTAACAGTAGATCTTTGGATTAAATCTAATCTAGACCTAGGATAAGGTATCTCAGCATGTTCTAAAGGTGATGATTAGAATACATAAATGGTTTATTTTATTACAAATTTGAAATTGGAATAACATGACACTTGTTTAGATTATTTTTTCTACATTCATAACCCCAAAGTATATTGTGTCAATTATACAAACGTTGCATCATCTTGTAAAAGTCATATAGGTATATATACTTTCAAATAATTTGCATAACTTTAAAACTATCTTAAATTCTGATCGTTTGATTACACTACGTTACATTAACGAATTAAAATGTTGAATTAACACTTTGAAAAAGGTTGCAGACGCATTAGAAACATTTGTCCATGTCAACTTTTACAAAATATAAATTATTTCATATAAAAGACATGAACACGCTTACGCCTTTACAATAATTACGTAGAACATTCCTCTTTAAAAACTACACGCCAATTTAAATTTAAATTCTTCAATTTGGTCATAATGTCAATTATCACTTCCAATAAAAATAAAGAAAAACCCGTAAAGAAAAAAAAACATATGTTTTTTACGACTTCATTCGAGTTTTACATTCACGCTAATTTGTCGATGGGCATTAAAAGGAACCGACCGAGTTATTCGGTAGCTGTGGGCTGCTAATGAACATTAATGCGAAGAACGGAACATTGGGTAATATAAAATGACCATTATTAGTACCGAGTTCCACGGACGACGAATAAAAATTTAAGGTGTGATATTCGGACTTTAGATCTAACTTAGTGACAACGATTTCACAGAGTATTTCTTGTAAAATAATTAAAAAGAATTGAAAGGTCAGCTATCTTTTTTATAAAAAAATAATTTATACGAAATAATAAATAATTTGTCATAAAATTAAAAAAATGTGAAAGTTACGAAACGCAGGTTAATATAGCGGTTCACTGTCAACAAAGCATCGAGCCAATCATTAGTGAGTGAGTGAATGAAAACACTTCATCGTTGTCTATGGGCATCTGTTTTATGATGCGGTAATACCAATTAAAAACTATTAAATTAAACCTTTCGGCTACCATTTGATGAGTTATAAAACTGGTATTTTACGTGATGTTTGTTTATTGTGATTATTTTTTATTGCAGTTATAAATGCTGTGTAACGTGTCAATAAACGAATAGAGGTTTTGAGTTCGAGATTAGGTAGTTGTGTAATGAACTTTAGATTGATGGCGGCTCCTTAGATGTTAGTAGACTTGAAAAATTATCTTAGAATAAGAAATAATAATATTTGTGTACTGATAATAATATCTTTATTATATACTAAGCCGGATACAAAGCCTACTTTTTGATTTAATCATGTAAAACAAAAAATATATAATCCATGCTTAGGTATAATAAAATTGGTACTGACTAGTGCCTCTAAATCTATACCTACTAATACTGTAAAGAGGTAAAGTTTGTGAGTTTGTATGTTTGGTGTAATTTCCGGTAACTACTGACCCGATTTTGAATCGCATTGTTGAATGTAACTGTATACAAACGGTTTTATTTCTTTAACTAGCTGACCCGCGCAACTTCGTCTGCGTCTCTCAATAGTAGTAAATTTTCTCCGATTTTGAAACATTCTTCATTGGTGCTCCGCTGTTATTGGTCTTAGCGTGATGATATATAGCCTATAGCCTTCCTCGATAAATGGGCTATCTAACACTGAAATAATTTTTCAAATCGGACCAGTAGTTCCTGAGATTAGCGCGTTCAAACAAATAAACAAACAAACTCTTCAGCTTTATAATATTAGTATAGATACGCCACCACCTAGAATTCTAGTTTCTAATACTTTGTTGAGTTAGCAACCTTATAACTTTGTTTCTTTGCGGAGCAAGACAAGTTATAACACGTCTTTTTGGACTAAAATAACAGAATTAAAACATTTAAGAACTCACGCAGCCACGCACAAACTAGAAAATGTTTTGTTTACTGGTATTCTTCTTGGCAACTGTAAACAATCATTAGTCAGTCAGTAGTAAATTTGGTGTGAGTAGTATATATTTTCTTGAGCATAATATGTAATTTGACATGTTATGTGTTACGTGTTCTAATCAACTTCTTCACGTAGGTATGCAAAAAAACTTACTAACAAATAGCGGGCAAAATTCTGTGTTAACTAAAATGACCAGGTGGAAAAATAACCTTTAGTTTTTTGAGTTCTACCACTGAACATGAAACCTAACCGCACTTAGGCCTTCCCGTATTGTTATTATGTTTCATTTTGCTTACAAAACAAATATTTACTCTTTGAGAAACTCTGTATTCACTTTGGCCGCCATTAAGCCCCTTGTTTTATTATTTCTGTACAATAAAATGCAATAATCTTCTTGGAAGTCTTAAAGGAAAGTCGTTTCGTGCAAATGTTCTTGGTTCCCGCCAATTAACACGTTGGGAACAAAGATGGCGGTATTTTGGAGGGAAAGTCTTTGGTCTTTACATACATTGTAAGTCGGAGTAGCTATTTTGCAGCCTTTAATGATTTAAGAAGGGAATTTAAGAAGCTCTGTTCACTCTTGATGCAAGTTTTAAGCATTCATTCCGGACTTCAAATAGATACTTGAGGGTTTTAGGGTTTTAGGATCAGAATTCTAAGTCTTATATAATACAAATATTTGTACTTACCAACATATTTTTGAAATACCCAGATCAAATTATGGCTCCAGTCTGATTGTTACCACAGCCCGTGCTACCTGTATGTAAACGTGATGATTAGTTAAATTAATTTCCTTAGAAATGCATACCTAGGTATACCTTACATATTTATACACTTACAATTAAACGAGAAATTTAAAACTTAGTATTGCTGAGAGTAACTTGTTGTTGTTGTAACTTGTTGTGTAAACTTTAAGTTTAAAACTACTAAAGTCAATTACAACAATATTATTATTAAAACGAAACTCCTATCCAAATAAATTTGCTTTTCTACCTTTCTTAACAGTTTTAGTCGTTCACTAAGGTGTTTACGAGCTCGCTTATATGAAAATATGCAATTAATTAGCATGATAGTGTGAAATAAGATCCTAGATGGTTTTGGTTTCAAAAGATGTTTTACTACACTGCCAGCAAAAATGTCTCACTCAACTTTGTGCTATTAATACCCATCGGAAGTTTTTAGAATATTAATAATTGCTTTTATCATTTGTCATCAATGTCATTTTATTCAATTATGGTATTAGTTTTAAAAATGATATCCGTTTTGAATACAAAGTATGTATATACTTATGACCACAAAGAAATATCAATGGTATAAGAATGTGGAATTTGGATAGAATAAAACGACTAATTAACTTTTGAAAAAGTATCACAGAGTGCAAAGTGCTTACATTCTTACATTCGTGATGACTTCTGATAAACTGTATTCTTTATTAATTCATTTTCAACCCTCAGGAGTGGTAAATTTTCTTCAAATTTTAATGGGACCAACCGGGAAGATAAGAGAAATTTTAAAATCGGTTCAAAAAAACGCCGAGCTGTTGGGTAACAAACTTTAAAAAAAAATACCACCGAATTGAGAACCGTCTCTTTTTTGTTTGAGTCGGTTAAAAAAATAAGTTAACAACAAATAAACGGGTTTTTTAGCCTCGCACATCTTTTAATAGAACCGCAGCCGTTACGAATTTATCTTTTGTCTAATAAATTAAGAACTGAAGGTATAAATATCATTGATTTCTATTTTATTATAGATTGGCAATATAAATTTGAATATATATGTATTTTATAACGACGTTAGTTAGCCATTTACAATTTTTTTTCACCATTTTAAATAACTGTCGAATGTCTTCAAATATTCACTTCAGTTTAGGTGTATAAACATATCATTTTACATATATTGACTATTACATATTGAATATTACGTTTGACTTACTAATACTAAAATATCTTCCACATCTCACACACGGCCGTCTGATCACAAACTAGGCAGAGCCCGTACTGCTGTGCTGCCCGTTGGTCTAGTTGTTAGTGACCGTAACTGCTAATCGAGTGGTCGTGGGTTCGATTCCCACCCAGGATAAATAATTGTGTAATGAGCACGATCATTTGTTCTGTGTCTGGGTGTAATTTATCTATAATTTGTAAGAAGTATAAGTATGTTTATCAGCGGCCTGGTCACTGTAGTACAGGCTCTACCTAATTTAGGATTAAAGGGCCGTGTGTAAGACGAAAAAAATATATATCCACCGTTGTATACTTTATAATTAATTTAATTCTGTTCTCATTGTTAACAGGTATGGTTTCAAAACAGGAGAATGAAGGACAAAAGGCAACGTATAGCCGTCGCATGGCCTTACGCAGCCGTTTACAGCGACCCAGCTTTCGCAGCCTCCATTCTACAAGCTGCCGCCTCCTCTGTAGGCCTGCCATACGGCTACCCCTCGCCGGCTCTAATACCCCCCTTCCACAACCCCCAACTCATACCCTCCGGCTACCCATATCCGTACCCGCCCTACCCCCGTTACCCGTACATCCCACCCACTCCTCCCTCCCCTGTTAACGCAGAAGCCACGACGCTAAGGCCTTATTCAAACTTCAATTTAAACGTAGACAAATAATTTTTGTATAAACCTTTTTTTGGCATTATTTAAATATGTCAAATAGGCTATCATATATTCTGTGACATCGATTCGTGCATAGAAAAAAAGTTTGTTGTGATGACATTTTGATGAGTCATTTATTTGCAAAACAAAAAGAAGTGACTTAATATTGTATGATTTTAATTTGATTAACTTTACTATCTTATGACCTGTCTGCTTCTTTACCCCCTGTACCATAAAAATAAAATAAAAAGCTGACCCATTGTTGTTTCTAACATATTTAAAAGTTAAGGTGTCGCTGGTAGACATATGTTGTAAATATTATTTTAAGTTAATTTATTTTATACTATGCGTGAGTATGAGTTTTAAATGTTTAAATAAATATGCAAGTTGTGCGCTAAAAGACATTTTTTTATTTACACCATATTTTAAGATCATGGTGATTATTATTCATTCCAAATTAAATATAAAAAAAGTCGTTAAATTAGTACTTTTAAATGAACTTTTGAAAAAACTGATTGTAACTTTAGTATAAGGTTGTCACATGTACATATGTCAAGATTATGATAAAAATATAATGTCATTTCATTTTCACGACTTGTGACAACCATTGTTTCATTTTTTTAATTGTGTATTTAACTTTTTTATTATTGTAACAGTATTTCTCTATGGGTAACCTCCGTGTTTCTTTAAAGATGTATAAAACTAAAGTATATACCTAAATTAAATTGTAGTAAAAGTGCAATACAAATATTATACTGTAACGTAAATTTGTGTAAGTACCTACTGTGTTTGTTTTTACTGTAATTATTAATATAGTAAGTTTGATATAGACTTGCCATTAATCGCATAATTATTATTAACAGTCTTTTAATCAGTTGTCTTTGAATTTATTTTAAGATATTATATATCATTATAGATACAAAGTATCTATGACTGCTCTCAAACTTTAAGAAAATATTACCCACTAGCTGTTCCCTGCGACGCTTTGCTGTGGCACAATGTGGTGGCATTGATTGCATGAAAAATGGATAAAAACAATCTTTGAAGCGGGTTGTATATCGTGGCAAAATTTTAAGCTCAATCAGTGCAAAACTTTTTGAGTTTTTGAAGGGAACCGACTTAACATTTTATATACATATATAGATATAATATTTTTTATGAGAGAGGGCAAGCGATTGAAATTAATATTAAGTAAATATTTATTGCATTGAGGGCGCTGGGTGTGACTAATAATAATAACATAATTTACACTAATATGCATCTCTGCGATTTTTAGTCGCAAGTCTGTATCAAATTTTTATATAGAAATTTTGTGTATAAACCTAGTTTAATGTTTAATTAAACTAAATTTAGTGTTCATAGTAGGTAAATAGGTACATTAATAATTGTTTAAATTAAAATTTTAGGCAGCATTGTAAAAAGTACTTACATTTTAAATAATTATTAAGAAATAAAAAAAAATAAGAAAGTTATTATATACATTTATTTTGTTGTTTCATTTGAGTCTGACAACACAAAAAACTGAGTGTATTTATCAGAGACTCATTATGGAGTACTGAATACTAATTCTCATAATCTTAAAATATTACAAAATAAAAAATGAAATTGAGACTGAATTATAAATTGACCACAAATAAAATAGACTGCACGGATGGCGTAGTGGTTTAAGCGGTCGTCACGCCGCTTACTACTACGCTGAGCGTTGTGGGTCCGATCCCCACATGGAACGACACTTTGTGTGATCAACAAATTGTTGTTCTGAGTCTGAGTGTTCTTTGTGTCCGTTTCATGTATGTTTGTAAATTCCCTTGCAACACAGGATTTATTCCTAATGCGGGAGTTGTCTTTAAAAAAAAAGTACGTATTCTGCCTTAAAAAATACTTTCCGGCAGTCTACTGTTGATTAACATTCAATCTCATAGAAATGTCAAATTTGACGTATTAACAGAGATGAGAATACGAATTACGTTTCATTCGCATTAAAGTATCACTCCCTAAGACTAGCAGAATACCTATTTCACTTTTTTCCAATCACAATACGACATAATCACATTACAGTCAAGATTGGATGCACTACGAGAATACCTTTTATGATATTCGTAAGATCATGAGTAGAGTGGAACTGAATTTCGAACGAATTTTTATTATTAGATTTCACGCTATGATATGTGAAATGAAACCAAAGCTAATATACACTAGGATAACACACTCAGATGTCTCTTAACAAATATATTTTTATGTCCGCAGAGGCAAAAATTGGTCAACTAGGTATTTTATATTCTACAGTACTTCCTAAAAAATACAGTTGATGTAGTTTTGAGTAAATTCATACAAGATCAACAACCCGAATCTTTGAAGACCTAGTACGATAATGCCCTATTCCGGAAATGAACATTGAGTCCATAAGGACACTCTTGTTCCGAAAATTACCTATTGTGAAAAGGACGTATCCCTTTAAGTATTTGAATCTGGGAAATTAGTAAAATGGGAGGTAAGGTTAGGTAAGTATTGTGACCAACAACGCACAACCTGAGCAAGCGAAGCGAGCGTGCCGTAGCAGTGGCCGGCGAACGCCAGAATCGAACTGCTTCAGTAATTGAACATCGTACATCGTCTTTGAACCTAATAACAAAAGCCTCATAATCTTCATATCAACAGCCTTTAATAGTCCACTGCTGGACATAGCCCACTCCTTACGAGGTTTTTTTCTACTATATCACGCTGGCTGGTTTGGTTCAAGTTTTCCTTCTCTTTGCAGTGCTTTTTTCCTGCGTTGTTTGCTCCCTTAGTCGGCTCTTATTACACCCACGGGATGAATAGGGGTGATGACACTCCGGATTTTTAATCCGTCACCACGCGAATATGGCTTTTGATACTTGCGGTTACTAAATCAATAGGTACAATAAAAATAGGAAAGGGCCAAGGTCAAAAATGTCCTTTAACTTGAGTGCACAGATGGCGTAGTGTAGTAGTAGTAGTAGTGAACCAACAAGTTCAAACCCCACATGGGACGACACTTTGTTTAATCTTAAAATTTCCTTCCTAAAAGGCCTTGTGACTTCTGAGTTGTAGGCGTTCATGGGCGACAGTAGTCACTTTCTATAAGATGACCGGTTACACGTTTGCCCACTCTTACATAAAATAAAATCTTGGCTCTCCCATACCTAATATCATCAACAGCCTTTAATAGTCTATTGCTGGACATAGGACTCTCCTTAGAAAGGGGAGAGCCATGCTTCGGCACGAATGGGCCGGCTCGACCGGAGTGATACCACGGCCTCACAGAAAACCGGTGTTAAGCAATTCTTTCGTTGCCTTTCACTGAGTGAGCGAGGTTACCGGAGCCCAAATCCCCCTCCCACTGACTCGAGTGGGAGGGACTCCAAGGTCAGCAACGCACTTGTGACTTTTGAGCTGCAGGTGTCCATGGGCGGCGGTAGTTGCTTACCATCAGGTGACTTGTCTGCTCGTTTGCCACCTTATATCATAAAAAAAGGAGGTTTGGCCTACTATACCACGTCGGCCAGACGTGTTGGTATAGGGTTTGTGACAAGTTTTCCCTCTCTTTGCAGTGCTGTTGTTCTGCGTAGTTTACTCCCGTATACCTAATATCGCTAATTCAATTTAGGAGGTGAGCGTAACACAGCGTCCAATAACGAGCCACCGATCACGTCACTAGTTATACGAATTGTCGCACTAAATTACTTCATGAGACGAAGGTTATTGCCGAACGCGGGGCGGACACGACATGAGGACACCAGAGATGGATTCAACCTACACTTAAATTCTTAAATCCTACACCGTATTAATTATTAGCAGTAGAGCTAAGTTTATCTGGCTGTTATGTTATAACTGGCAATGTGTACGTGACCTTAATGAATTATACTTACCCCTTTTTTTTTCAGTGTGGAAATCCCCTCGGATACCACCGATAGGTGGCATGTCGGACTCGAACCGACTAAAACCGCACGCCGTCTCGGGTACTAATAGCCGGGGAACCAGGTGTACCCTAGAAAGGAAGTCCCTGGTGCCCCGACATACCTCGGGCCATCTACAACAAGTAGACGATCCCCACCGTGTGGGAACCCCATGTTCCCTCTGCTCCCTGGAAGCGAGCGCGCCGCCACCCCGGCCTGCTTCTGCTAGGGTGACAGATGGCCTCACCTGTCACTCCCAGGCCTGCGCTTATGGAGGACCGAGGTCGTTCTGCGACCTCCGGCGCCTGAGTCGCCTGCGGTACCTAGCGGGAGAGTTCTAAACCTCTCCTGGTCCCGCTCCGCCGTCTCCTTCGCGAGCATAACTTGCTCGCAGAAGGCGACGGCAGATTTCCACGCACTCTTGCTCCGCACGATAGCCGCAATCAGGCTATCGAGCGAGAGAACTCCCACTCCGATGGCCGCCACGAGGTCTCGCCTCTGCTCAACCCACGCCGGGCACTCTGCCAGCGTGTGGAGAGCCGTGTCCACGGTCTGGCCATCGCAGTGGTGGCACTCAGGTGTTGGCTCCTTGCGGATCAGACACAGGTGATCCCCGAAACATCCTTTCCCAGTGATCACCTGCGTGACTGACGCAGGTGATCACTGGGAAAGGATGTTTCGTATGAGAGGGTCCCGTGAAGGCTCTCGAGCCAATCCTCCATAACGGGTCTTACCGCCGCGATGACGGCGTGCCCGAATTATACTTACCCCTAAATCAATTATAAGCCATGGAATTGTTCCGATTTCACTGCTTTGTAATGAAGACTTTGTCTATAATTTATTTATCACGGGTTTCTAAGGATATCTCATGTTAACAACTCCAGCTAAAATAAATGCCAGTTGATAGCAAGTCCGAAGACGTCCACTGCTGGGCACAAGCACACACACAAGATTCGCCACAACAATCGGAAACATAATGCTACCTATTTTACTATTTAAAAGAAAAGAAATATGTTAATATTTTAACAAAACTTAATCCTTCCCTGCCTACGATACGGCTCCGTGACGGCTAGGGACGGTGCTACCTTAATTAAACGG